AAAAAACTTTAAATCAATTGAATCGTTTGTGTAACGATCTGCAAACTCGGGGCATACTCGGGACGGTCCCTCCTGTTACTATCAACAAATTTTATAGATGGATTTGACTCGATAATTATATTACGGTGAAACCCGCGCAGAAATAGTTACATTATTGATGCAAATCCTATCTAAAATAGTAACTAGCCCTAATTAAGCATAGATTCGTATCAAGAAAGTTATCACCTCTGCGCCTTTCACATTATATTTATCAGATTTGACACGTAACAATGGTTCTACCACAAAATCCCGACATCCAAAATCTCGAAACCATAATCCGAACGTGACAATTATAATTTAAAGATTAGTAATCACATTTACAATCATTGTCAGACTTTAAATTTTTAATTGTCACGTCGCGTGATGTCAGTATTATGGCCTGTCGAGATTTTGGATGTCGGGATTAACAATTGTAATAGCGATGGAAAATAGTAATTCCGGTTTTTTAATTTGGGCAAAATTCCAAAAATTCTCAATTTCTGTTTAATACAATGTTAATTTATTTATTTAATCTATATTTACAATTAATCAAAATTAATCATAATATAAATGGTGTGTACGAATATTAATTATTTAATGCACAAAAATAAAGTTGTAAAGCAAGTGTTCATCGTAATTGGTAAATTTAACTTAAACGACCAGCGAATAAGAAATTATTGCCAAAAGTGATTTTCGCTCGTTCTCCCGACAAGGTACACGTGGAAATCGCTCATCCAAGCTGATACAAAATTGTTGCTGACTCAATGTTGTTGACTCAAAAAATAATTTTATTATCTTCTTTCCCATACCACCATCTTCTAAAGAAATCTCTAACCATAGTTTTTAGTCCCGGAAATATTCTAATATCGTACATCCTAATCTGATATGAACTTTCCTTAGAATCCAAGTACAAATTATTTTTATAAACCAGCCAGCTGCCTTTATTGTCTCTCGGTAATACGACGATCTTGTAACGCTGTTTACTCTTTGGAAATTCAGGAATTGTGAGTATTCCGTCAAATTCTTCTTGAAATCGTTCAAACCCAATGATAAATTTTGGAATTTCTTGTAATTCCGAGTTAATATCAGATGATTTTTTATATGGACCTTTTAATTCTGGAGATTCAATTGATATATCTTCGGTTTTAGAGAAATCGTCATTGCTTAATTGGGCAAAAAAAATCGTGATCGCCAAAGCAAGAGTTGACAAGATGAAAATAATACGAATCATTTTTTTTAACGTGTTTGAATGATATTTTTGAATAAGTGAATAAAAATTTCTTTCGTTCAAGAAATATTAATATGTATTTTTCTTTTATCGTATAGAACTGGATTTCGTCCTTTGGACACCTCAAGTTTTTAGTTCTCAGATACTTATCACGACTATAAATACGAAAAATCGATTCGATTAGATCATATAAATTGAGCTAACTGAAAATATTTTAATAATTGTCTTCAATTTTTAGAATGGGAATAACTTTATTTACTACACAATACGAATAATAATAACTAAGTTCATTGCTATTGATATGTAATAATGTTATTTTCTATTTATGGCAATTACATATTTTCTTGATTCCATTAGAACCTTTTTCAGACAATGAGATCAATTACGTAATCTATTATACACGCAAGAGTCTGTAAGAAGTTTTAATTATTGTTACGTATGAAATTTTCTCATATTATTAAATGCATGTTCTATGTCATCACTCCTTGTAAAACTTTTTGTTGTACTTTGAATAGATTCTAATAAGTACATAAAAGTAATTATTATTTTTTAACAGTTTTCTTACGATGTTTCTTACAATAACTTTGTATACATAATTAGAGTTCGGAACGAATTGTTAAATCAATATCTGGTTAATTAATGACCACCTAAGAACGACGGGTTTATGTCATTGTTAAAATTTTACAGGTGGTCAAATACTTTATTTTTTCGTTCGTCTGTATTTCAGGCAGGGCTAAAACGACACATAGTAAATGCCGGCCATTTACTGTGCCATTGCTTATTGTTTAAAGTATCTTTCTTGATACATAAAAATCATTAGTAGAAATATTTAATATTTGATCGTCTTTAGAAATATGCATATGTATAATACTGCATCAAAAAATTATAATATAATGTGAATCAAGAACGACACTTATTGAATGGCCGGCATTTACTATGTGTTGTTTTCAGGTTACGCTTGCTTTTCAGATTCAGTGGAAAGAAATTGGATTTAAATCCGAAGGCCAAATCTTTATACATAATATACAAATTACATTAATACAGATAATGCTGTGACATTTTATGCACATTTCATGATTTCTCTTAGTGTTTAGGATATATATCCTTCGCGTCGAAAAATTAATGAAAATTAGATTAAATAATTATAATAATTATAATTAAAGCAATTATTTGTTTCGATGCCGCTTTAAAATTAATTTGGTAACATTGATTATTATATACGTAAAAGATATTGATATTGATAGATTATATGCGATAAAACATTAAAAAGTTACGGTAAATTAAATTTATCTCGTTTTAATAATTCTTTGCCCATCATGTTTTTAATTTTCGAAGATTTAAATTGACAACTTTAATAAAATTTCATCAATATTAAACATATTAAAAATCCGTATATCATTAATATTTTGTAGTCCCTCAAAACTTTTTATAACCCGATAATCAAAAAAAAAGTGAAAAAAAGACTGCTAAAGAAAAGTTTTATATAGCGGAAAAATATATGACCTAAAATATAAGATTCAAAAGAATATCCAAAAAAAATGGAAAAGAAATCAAAAAAGAATTATTATTAGAAAGGGTATGGATTTAAAAGTGTGTTGCGTCAAATTGAAATGAATATACATCTATAGAGTATCCATGTCTGTTAATAATAAAGTGCCACTAGACTATTATATGTGATAATTATATTGTAAAGTACTAAAGTATACAAAAAATTATTTAAGATTTAATGTCGCGGCTGATGCTGATATCGAAATTTGGGATCTCAATTTGAAATATAACGATAAGCCCTGCTAAAACCCATATATATAATAATTTAATTTACACTAAAATATGCTTCATATACTTTGCCATAAATTTAGGTTAGTGTAAAAATTCGCAGTAATGAATTTGAAGGCTTTTCATTACGATCACTAAATCTGAGTATTTGGTCCCCAAGTTTAAATTTTAGTTACCAAATGACATAAATAAATTAATGTTAAACCCCGAAAACATTTTTTGAACCTCTGATCTTGTTTGATAACGCGTCTAACCCATCTTTCCCACGTGCTAACCCATCTTCCCACTTTTGACGTATCTTATTAGACATAGAAATTTATTATAATGACGCACCTTCACCCGGGTATAGTAATTAAAAATCATTATTGGAGTGTTTCATGGTTTGTCTCATGATCAAAAGCAGGGCTAAAATGACACAACAAATGCCAGCCATTTACTGTGGCATTGCTTATTGTTTAAAGTATCTTTCTTGATACGTACATAAAATTTATTAGCAGAAATATTTAATATTTGAACGATATGCATATGTACTGCATTAAAAAATTATAATATAATGTGAACCAAAACGACACTTATTGAATGGTCAGTATTTACTATGTGTTGTTTTAGCCTTGATTAAAGGACAATTATAATATACAGAGAAACAATTGAAGACAATTACATAAATATGTATACACCTAATCCACTACAATATTTGCTTAGAAAAAGAACAGAATTTTTGCTTAAAGTGCCCATAGTACCTGAACTGTTTAATTTTGTTTTTGTATTTTATATTATCGCTGTTTTCAAAATAGTAGAAAATGGGTAAAAAAAAAAAATTTCAAGTATACTCTGTATACCCTGTATACCTCGTATACTCGTATACCAGATTACCTTAGCATATCGATGGAAGATTGACATGCATATGTGCTTATTATCAAAAACAATTATATGCCTAACACTAATTGTTCCAAGTGAAACAACCCCAAAATTCTAAAAATAAAATTAGGTTTTCTCTTGACGACACTCATGTGCTATATGACTGTTAAATCTGTAAAATTTCAAACTATACATATGAGCGATCCCTGAAGTATTCATCTAGCCAAAAGTGAACGTTAATAACATCATTCTTAATATAACACGTTAGTTTAGTTAGAAACTGGCTGTAATCATTTGGAGATTGTAAAATATACGTACGTACTATGTACTATTTTTATATGTATAGTATATACGTTCTTTATTGATCACTAATTTAAGATTTCTCAGTAAGACGTATTATATATGTTATTAAGTGGGAGTGGGATTTGAAATTTCTTAGAATTTTAGAGTTAGGGTATAGTGTTTATATAAAATAAACTCCACCCTGAAATTCTAATTAACTAAGAAATTCCAAATCCAATTTCCACTTACAACATATATTATTTTTTTTAGCTTAGTCAGTTTCATCAAAGTAATTATTTCACATTTATATTTTGGTCTTGCTTCGCTTGGATAGGTTTTAAACTCTTCATTTGTTTATCATATTTCAACAATCATTAATTACCAACTTAAAGTTTAATCAAGATTCACAATAATAAAAACATAGATATTAGAACTTATATATACAGGAGGTTTTGCTATTCAGTTCTATATGATTGCATGACAGATTTTTCGACTTATGATCAATAAAAAAAAAGTCATTCTTAGGAATGTTAATGGAGTAAGAATGACCTCAAGTAATCGGTATTTGAGATTTTGATTACAGAATGCTGACGGCTAATATCAAATTCATAACTAAGTAAAAGGTATATTCGAAAAAAATTTTATCAAAAAATAAAAAAAATTATGCGAAATTCAAAGTTACTAATTTTCTGCCTATTAATATAATTGGAAGTTTAGCAATATTTTAAGCATTTGTATTCTTGATGTTTTTTTTTTTTTTTGAAAAGGTATATTTAATACAATTATTTATTTAGACAATGAATGTATTTTAATTTCGTCTATTTCATTTCTTGGAAGACTTTTCACATGCTTCAATTCTTTTATATTATTTACCAGTTTTTGATTTAATATGAGGCTTGAATCAATGTTTTTTAACGTTAATCATTTTTTATTGAGAAAGATCAAAAGACTTTTCAAGAAGATTGTGTACTCTGATGTAGTGTGGTGTAGTATGATGTGGTGTGGTGTTGAAAATCACTCTGCCAAAATATGCACCACACCGCTCCAGAGTAGGCTGTTAACATCTCTAGCTATTATGTATATCATTTTGAAGTACCATAGCAATTGGATAGTACTGTCAAACCTTCCTAATCCAATATACATGGTGGACAGATTTTGTATCAGTATTGAGAGGTTATTAGGTTTGAAAATATTAGATTATATAGCAAAACAGACTTGGTATATTAGTTTCTTATCAAATTTGACAGGATCGTTTTTGGAAGGTTTTATAGTATTGAATTGGAGATCTAAATTGAGATGATTTTTCAAATGTCAGTATAGTTTACAGCACCTCTGTTTTTTTAAGATCACTTGCATATTACTGTATTTTATTAAATTTCTGGTGTTTAATAAATGAAATCATAACTAATAAAAAATATATTTATCTGTTTGATCAATTATACATTGATTTTACCATATCAGTAGTATTATAAAAGGTCATATACAAGACTCAGGTCTCTTACATTTTACTAATTTTAAAACCTATAATAGACCTGGGTCTAGTATATGGCTGAGAGTTTATATTATTAATAAAAAAATTTTGAAGAGTATTGTTACTATTGTTTGGGAGAGCTTTTACGATTTTGGCACAATTTAGCTCCAATAGTTAACTATTATTTTCTTTATATAACGGGGATATAGTAATAACTTGTGCACATAGTATTACATAATTAATTCGAGATCGGATAACAAGTTCAAACCTAGATCAAACCAGTGTATAATATAAATAACGTATTTCACGGATATCAATGTCCTCAAGGTGGATGACGTATGCAATATACTTGATAAAATAAAGGGTAATCAAAAAAATGTATAATATGATCGTTAAGAACCTTACCGGTTAAATAGAAAATAACAATAAATACAACGATGTAATAATAAACTTATAACAACACTTAAGAAATCAATTCTTAATATTCCTATATTAAAGACATTGAAGTCTAAAGCTTTATTTAAAGAGCGAAAAAGCAGCTTCTTTATACTTTCGAAATATATTGAAGGCTTACTACAAGTTATCATTAGTTGCTTTGACTAGAACCATACATTTA